CCGGCAGAAGTATCCCCGGAGAGACTGCTAGGAAGGGGCCCCCAGCAATGGTGGGACAAACACCTCGCCGGGGGTTTGGGAAACCAGACTAAAATGTCCTGGCACGTGCCGCTGTCCATCCGAAACACAAGGGTGAGAAGCATGCAGTGGCTGATCTATTACTATGCATTCCCGGTCAACCACTGGCTCAGCAAACGAAGATCTCCAGCCGCTCGAACGGATTTTGACGAAATTTGCGCCCTCTGCGAGGATGACAATCCAGAAGATCTTCACATTGCTTACTGACCTGCCAGCAGGCAGCTCAACTCTGGACCAGATCGGCGAACCTGTGGGAAGCAGCCACAGCCACCCCCCTGCCAGACTACCCAGCGCCCACACTTACTGGCCTTAAAGAACCGCACCTGCAAGAGAAGTGGCAATCTACACTTTACCAGGACTCCACCCTCTGACACTGGGTGATCTGGAAGAGACGAGGCAAGCAGACAATCTTTGGGCAAACGACGTCACTGGCCGAAGCATGGGAGGGACTGATGCAGACTCTACTCTTAGAGTACCCACTCGGATTGGTGCAGAGCTAGAAAGCACATCGAAGAGGACCTCGCTAAAAAACAAGACATCGTTGACAAGTTCACAAAGGATGTGTTGAGCAGCGGTACACTGGGGACCATAATGGGCAACACCCTCAAACTTGCATGGGGAACTCAGCAGGACCACCTCGACCACATGACAACCGCCTCTTCAACGTCCGCTGATGCTAGACAGGCTCTCACTCTGGCCTGAAGACTACACAGAACGGAGGACGGAGGGTAGCAGATCAGAGCAGGGTTGCATACCTGCCGACAGCCAACCCTGACTGCCGACCGTTTTGCAACCGACCGGTAGGGCCGACCGGTCGGCGGTCTGCTGACCAGTCAGAAAACAGGGATCCACTGATTTTTCAAAAAAGTTACCATAATGCACAATAAAGACCATAATAAACAGTAATTGGAAAACCGAAACTGAGGCTGAGACCCCTCGCACTCCACACAGCTGATGGACTCCAAAGTTCAAGAATGATGGCCCATTGCCCAGGGCTGAGAATGCGCTACATAGCATCCCCAATCACCAAGAGAACTTACCAGTTTGTTGTCTTAGTTCTCTTTTCTGGCCTTCCTCTCCCTCTGAACACTTGGTCTGATGGACAGGCCTGTGGTTCGTCATCAACGTCAATGATGGGTCTCTTGAAATTTGTTTGTCATTGTGTGCAGGTTTCGGAGCTTCCCAGGAGCCGATGTACGTGATTGATATTGATGATGGATGGTTCAGCTGGTCCACTAGAGTGGATGAGATACCGACTTTGCGGAACATTCATATGCGCATTGGGAAAGGATCACTTGTTGCAGTGTGTGGAACAGTTGGTGCAGGTACACTTGACAACAGTAATCCTGGACCTTAACGGTCATCTGGTTATAGCTATGAGCAAGTCATTCTATGAATCAATAATGATTTGCGTCTTCTTATGACCATTCACCAGAAACAGTGGATTGCGTGTTTCTCTATGACTTGCATGTTCTGTATGGTGGTTGTGGCCGTGGTTGGCTTGTTTCTCTGTGACTTGCATGTTTTGTATGGCGATTGGAGCACGACATTTGTGCACTGAAACCCTATCATATCTGATATGTTCACTGCCCATATGATACCATGGAATATGGATATGCAGAAGAGTGACACAGACACCAGAATCCTGGTGTTTGCTAAACCCAGGTCACAACCTTGCAAGTTGTATTGGCATGGTTACACGGAACCTGATTCTCATACAGCATGGTGGTTCTTCCGGGTCTGGATACGGTTGCCATGTGAACTGTTGCGAGTGAAGGATTCCAGTGGATGTTGCAGGTTTAGTGGAGAGTTTTCCATAGATGCAGGGACACAACATAGAACTTGACGTTGTCCTTTCCGACATCCATTAAGATTAGTACGACACAGAGAAGATTAGCATTGCCCTTGCGAATGGATGTTAGAAAAAAAAGAAAAAAAAAGAAACATAGAACTTGGTGAAGAGCTTTGCATCTGACCTTTCTGATCTTTTTCCTGCGTGAATAGTGTGACAGAGATCCAGTTCTAGGCCTTTTCGAGGCCATATCCACCTACCGACAGTCCTATCATATCTTGCCACATCTAGTGCCAGTATGAGACCAAAGACCGGGCAGAATGGTGAGCCGGCACTAGACTTCTACTGTTTACTCTAGTTCAGGAGAACTTTGATCTGTGTTGTTTATTGCCATTGTGAATACGAACTGGACATCCTTATTATAAGTGGGACCTGTCTGTTCTTAGGCACGTGAATCAATCTGCTTCCTTTCCCAGAGGCAAGTCAGGAAGCAAAACACAATGGTCAACTCACTGTGAACAATAGTCGCAATTATGCCCAGGGATACGCGGTAGCTTTTGTGTTTTCCCCTGTCGTAATGTCATGCCCTCATCTGTTTCAGAACTCTTCCCCTTCTCTGTAACTGTGGCCCAGTTCTTCTCTGTGTATTTGAAGCTCTAGGGCTCATCCATCTTATCACTTCCCATAGTTCTCAACTTCTCAGCCTTGCATTTGCTGTTGGGGAAGCCATAACAATCTCCTTGATTCTTTTCGCTCTGGAGATGGTCGTTCCTGTAATCTCGTTGTTGCTTTTGCGTGTCCTAGTCTCTGGTTTCTTCTTTTGTCCTAGAGATGTTTTGTTGTAGTAAAAACCCTGTGTCTATCACGTACCACATAATTCCTTGTGATTAGACTCCAATGGACTGCCCATGGGCACTCACTGGAGGTTTTTTAAGAGGTTGGCAGAAATTGGTACTGTTGGCCTTACAAAAATCCCCTGCCATGCGTATCTTGAAGCTCATTTTAATATATTTTTGTCTTTTTCTAAACCTGTGGGAGACTGTTAGTAACACAAAAGCCTGTGCCTCTGGCTGTTATGTTTGACATTTCTGTGCAGGAAAATCAAGCTTGCTCTACAGCATTTTGGGTGAGATGCCCAAGTTAAAGGGCACGGTGAGTTAATGATTGAGTGGCGTTGAGGCCTCATGCATTGACCTTCATTGATATAAAGGAGAGGAGTCATTTTCTCTCTGTTTTCCTTGGGCCCACGGGCGTGGATGGCGGGCTTCCTTTTCAGGGTAGATGGGATTGCCTTTGATTCCATGTAAGGCTCTAATGAAACCTTCTTTACGCAGGGCGATAGAGGCCCTTAGACTAGCATCCGAAATGAAAGTCAACTGGTCAAAACATGGAGGGTGGTAGTTGGCTGAAGGAACTCCGCCTCCACCAGAACAAATTAATTCCTAGTTATCTTGTTCCTCTGGCTCACAGGCACTATTGAATCATGGTGAACAAACAAGGGACCTGCCTAGGGATGGGTCAGAACCTGATGGCAAAGGCAAGTGCCCCACTAGCTCCGTGCAAGAATTCAACCTCACCGAGGAGCAATACAATCTCCGACGAAAGTGGGGATGTTGCTTTTGGTGCAATAGCACCAGACACACCCCCACACAATGCCCCGACAAGGGCAAAGAGGATGTTAGACCCCGGGCTAGCTTGGAAAACTGAGTTCCGCGGGAAGTGAGGCGACTCACTTCCCATTCCGCCGGACCTGGCTGCCTTGCTAGCAGCCTCCTATACTCTCGGGGAGCATGTGGACGTCACAAGTTCTCGCTACAATTACGAGGACTATGCTGTCCAGCTGGTCCCTCAGTTGGACCAACGCTTCCACCTGCAATTCTCTAGCGCATGTCCAGTTTCACCACCGTCGGCAAGTGACTCCACATTTTCGCCCGTTGACTATAACCAGGGATTCATCCTCATGGTCGAGACTTGAGGACCTCGACCCGTTAACTACCAAAGACTTCCAATGGATGCTTCTTCCCCAGTCCGGTTCCTTGCCGAAACCGCATTGCAATGTCGTGATGGCTCATTTGCGTGAGTATTTGCACGCTGCAGTACCAGCTCTGTCGACAGACTTCGGAGTAGCGGTTCAGGGTTGTCGAGCCCCGGCGGGGGTCCGGGGGTGGGCACCCCAAACCCCGGCTCCGGAACCCCTCTCCCAAAAAAAAAAAAAAAATTCAAAAAAAAAAAATAGTCGGGGTGCGCAGTGAGAGCGCGCACCACATGGGCTAAACCCCAAAAATGGGGTTTTATGCCCCACCCCGGACCCCCCCCGGGGCCATACCCACCACTCGTGGGACCAGGGTAGCTGCTGGTGCGGGGCCGGGGGCGGGACCAACAGCCGGCGGGGGCGGGGTTGAGTGTTGGCAGGGGCGGGGGTGC